AATGAAACAAAAAACATTACTTCTTTAAGTAGTTAGCAAATATAGATTAATTGTAGACTTCTCTCTAATTCTTAGAGACTATATAACATTTCTGTTTACCAGATTCAGTGAAAATACTGGAAAATCAAAAAGGTAATTTTTCATCAACACTCCCAAAAGTAAAGTATTTATATATCTATTGCTGCCTTCTAGATGATCATTAGAGTATAATATTTCTCAGATGCAGTGATATTATGGGAAAATCAGTTCCAATGGGATTTCTAATTAAATTAGATTCTAATAGGATTTTTAAAAAAATCAATAATATAACTCAAAACTATAGAATTTATATATATTTTATAATTACATAAGTAGTTACATAAGTATATAGATTCATGGGTGCTGTCCTCGTGGGTGTCCTCGTAAACAAGGACCTTTGGTCTATGCCTTAAGATAAAAAATCAGCATACTCTGAGGATTATACAATACATTGATGGGTACCATTGATTCCACCTAAAAGAGAAAAAAAACATTCTCTTGGTTTTTGATGGAATATATTCACCTTACTGATTTTCCCACATTTTCAATGCATCAAGCATCCAGATATACTGTCTCTAAGAATCATGCAGGAGGCAACAATACATTTATATGTGGCATTGAGTCCTACAAATAAAAGAACATATTTTAATCAGTATTGGTAATGATAGTATGAAAGTTACCTTTCTTGATTTTCCAGTATTTTCACTGAATCATGTTTGCAGAAATGTTGTACTGTCTAAGGATCACGCAGGAGGCAATAATACATTTATATATGGCATTGGGACCTACAAAACAGAAAAACTTTAAATCTCTGTTTGTGAATTGTGTATGAAAATGTACCTTTTTTGATTTTTCAGTGTTTTGACTGCTTATGGCAATTAGAAATGTTATTCAGTCTCTAAGGAAGCAACAATAGAATCATGGATGTCGCTTAGTTCTGCAAACAAATGAAAAACTCTGCAGTTCATTATTTGCAATTAAAAAATAGTGTTACAGGAAAATAGCCTCATGTGGTACTAGCAGGAGTACCCTTCCTAAGACAATAACAAGTTTAACATTGTTAGCTGAAGTTTCTGTTCTATCTTTTCTGAAGAGAAACAAACTTTGCTGATTGATTGATATCAACATGTTGAATTCAAACATTTATTGAAAGTGTATAACTTTGCCATACAAACGCATAGAAGTAGGAACCAATGGGGAACATTCTTCATTAAGTTTGTATTCAGAACATTGCAAATTAATGAGCAAATCCTATAAAGATATTCGAAATTTACTTCTACCACTAACACTATAATAGTTTACACGCAATTTGATTCAAATTATAGCTCCTGAAAATTCCAATAGATGACTCTGATTGTCATAATTGTAATGCATATAACTCGAAAACTAATGAGGAATTAACTTATTAGATTGAAGTAGTAATAATAGATTCGTTAAATAGTTCTTTTAGCAAATTTGTTTATTTAAATTAATAAGCTTTAAAGAAAGTGGATTTTGTACAGCGCCAAAATGGCTGAACTGTAACCTTTGCAATATTGCTAACAGATGGCGCCAACTGTCACAAAATATTGAATATATATTTTGCGCCTAAAATGCAGGCAACCAAACATACATATAGAATTTGATGAACAGATAGGAAAACAACGACTTAGATAATGGCCTGTATTTTCGTAAACTTGAGCTCCCAGAAGAATTTTGTACATGGATGTTGATCTCGAATGTACACGGATTAAAATTAGCGTAAATATTAGTTTGTAGCTGCAATGGTGTCTTCATAATTGATTAACAAACTTTGGTATATCACAAATGAGTTGGGAAAATAGGATCTTCGAAAATGGCCTGTATTTTCGTATACACCAACTCTTAAAAGAATTTTGGACATTAATATTGATCTTAAATATACAGAGATTAAAATGAATGTAAATATAGGTTTGTAGCTAGAATACCTTGGTCACAATTAATTATCCAACTTTGCTATTAGACGCAAACTCTCAGAAGAGTTTTGGACATTAATGTTAATCTTGAATATAGACAGATTAAATTGAGTTTAAATACAAGTTTGTAGCTACCATAGCTTCGTTACAATTAATTATCAAACTTTGGTATTAGATCTAAATGTTGATCTAAAATATACAGAGATTAAAAGTGAAAATATAGATTGATAGTTATATAAGATACTTTTAGTAGTATATACTAGTATTCATGTTTTCCAGTCTCCAAGGATCATGCAGGAAGCAACAATAGAATCATGGGTGCTACAGGGTCCATCTTCTTAATGAAGTAATATTTTTAGTCATCTTCAGCAGTTAAGGTTTCCACTATTTGCAAATTGCTATTAAACAATGCTTTCCACTTTCTGGAGAACTTAAGGTCGTCAATTATACATTAAAGGCATGTTGCTATCAGCTGCATCTAAAATAATAACAATTGTACCAATGATTGTTGACAAGTTGACTATTTACCTACCTTATGACTATTAGCAATTAATGCACATTCTTATCACTGATTCAGTATATTTCATGTAAAAGATTTCAAGAATTGTCCCTTGTTTCTGCAGTTTCTGTTGTATGTTTTCTGAAGACAAAGAACTTTAGTGATCAATGGTTTCACTACTACTTGCCCGAAGTGAAATATGAAGTTCCATCCAGGGAAATAGTGATAGCTGCACACATGTATTTATCCTCATCAATTTTAAAAGCTGTTTATTCTAGATCAATATTTACATTCAAAATTCTTCTGGGAGTGAGTTTCCATGATCAAAGTTCATTATCAAAGACGAAAACCTGCTATTTAATCAAAGTTTATATGTATGTTTGGTTGCCTGCTCTTTAGGCAATATAGTTCAGGCATTTTGGCGTTGCACAAAATCCACTTCCTTAAAATCGTTCTAATTTAAATAAATAAACATGTGAAAAGAACTATTTAACGAATCTAATGTTACTACTTCAATCTAATAAGTTAATTCCTAATTAGTTTTCGAGTTATATGCGTTAAAATTATGATAATCAGAGTCATCTGTCGGAATTTTCAGGAACTATAATTTGAATCAACTTGCGTGTGGTGTGAATTGTTATTGGTCGTCATTTGAACGTAATTTGAATCAACCAATAAGGAGCGACCGCAGTGACGAGCTCAGATACCTCCTCGCTACTCCTGGTCTCCTGATGTAAATCGAAATTTTCTGTTATTTTCGAGATTCAAATGGGGGGGGGACTTGAGTTTGGATTCGCGAGAACCGCGGACACATTAAAGCTTAATACCTTTCTTATTAATCAACCAAAATTAATATGTATAGTACTAAATGAAAGGGAGAGAATCATTCTGTAAATTCAAATTTTTATTTAGCACTTTTTTCAATTTGTTTTTTTTTTAATTAGTCTATAAACGCAGATTCTTCTTAGACCACCGAATACGCTACAATAAGCTTACTATCGGCATTGTGGTTTACCTGATACATCTATTATAGTAATCAAAATAAGTATATTAATTTAGTTTTCAATCCAATTGAAAAATTCTTTTTTCTTGTATTGATGTACTAATGGGAATACATAAATATGATTTATTATCTATTATAATAAACTAATCTAAAATAATGAATAGTTCAAAAGTGGAGAAATCAATTGAAAATGATTTATCGTACGTTATATAATGGAATTGATCATTAACAATTCATGTAAATTATTGTATAAAAGCCGTGAGCGTGATTTGATATATTCGAATTTAGATAAAATGATTGTCGCCTTGATCGTTTTTCAAACATTCTTCCGTTCGGTTTTAGGACATGGTTACAACGGTACTTTAAATATTTGTAAGTAGTTTTCTTATTTAAATTTTTCTTACATCGGTTTTTATATTATTTTCTTCAGTATTTTTGAATGAGAACAGCAACATTTACGCCAACTACGGTTGGTTCCTCGCCATAAACTACATCAAGGAGAGGTTCGATTTGAAATTGAATGTGCACGAGTTGCATGGAAGCAACGAGCGGTCTGAAGATTTCTTCAGGAGATGTTAGTTTTAAAATATTTCGTTGATTATGATAATTGAAGATTCGTTTCAGTGAGCGCAAAGTATGATGAAATGTTGCACGAGAACGCACCTCCGCATCTTATCGTGGACACATCGAAGTACGGTTTATTATCGGACGGCATAAAATCCTTCTCAGCTTCTTTAGCGATTCCAACGGTGAGCGCTTGCTTCGGCCATAGAAACGATCTCTTCTCCTGGAGCAATCTCTCCGACCGCGAATTGAATTACCTCATTCAGATTCTTCCGCCTGCTGATATAATTCCTGCTATTGTCCGGAGCATAGTCGCGAAGCAGAACTTCTCGACAACGGCAATCTTGGCGGACGAAGCTTACGGTTTACCACAACTCGATTGTAACGTTTACCTTCATTTAATTGTTATGTACTTTATTACAGAGATGCGACACAAATACAAACAGCTTCTGCAGAATCTCGCCACGCGACACATCATAGCTAAATTGGATACTTACAATCCGATCAGACAGCTTCTGCACGTGAAGAAGCTGAAGATCTTCAACGTTTTCGTTATCGGATCCATAAAGAATATAGAATCCGTCTTGAACGGAGCTGAGGCTATCAGCATGTTCGTCGAAAGGTATTCGTGGCATGCCATCACCCACGAAATGGGAGACGTCAGCTGCGAGTGCAGAAACGCGTCTCTAATCTACGTGAGACCTTCGCTCGCTTCAAGAAAGAACAAGAAACTCGATTACAAATTGCTAGAAGAATATCAGTTGGCAGAACGCTCCAAGATCTTCACCGGTTTCTACTTCGATTTCATCATCAGTTCTCTACTAGCTACAAAGTTTGTATAAAACTCTTCAACTCGAGAATCGCTGAACAGAAAGTTTCGGTTTCAGTGAGGCTTACAAACAATTCTTCCACGACTTATCTTACATAAAATCTTACGATTACAATGGTAGCAACACGCCGACACGTGACGGCTTCAATTTGAGGCAATATTTCTCCGGAGTAATTGAATTCTTCAGCACATAAGATTTGTGTTTAAACTTTATATTTTTTTGTTTGTTTTAGGAGAAAGCTGTCTCAAATATTCGACCTTTTAACGTGAGCAGAAACGGCTACAGCAGTCTCAAATTTAACATGGAAATTCTTGCGGTTAATCTGAGGGAAGGTTCGGTTTACACCAGCAAGAAGTTAGGTTTGTGGGCTGCCGGTTACGATAATCCGCTGGAACTGGAGGATCCGCAAAGTTTGAACATTTACAATTCGAGGATCGTCTATCGAGTCATAACGATTGCTGTAAGTAAATTGTATAATAAATCATTGCATAATTACGAATGATTGCAGCAAAGACCGCTGATTTTCGAAGATCCTGAAGCGCCGAGGAAGTTTTCCGGCTTCTGCGTCGACGTTTTGGATGAGATTGCCTCGATGCTGAACTTCGATTACGAAATCTTCACCGTTTTGGATGGGCAGAAAGGTGCAATGGACAAGGATGGTAATTGGAACGGTATGATCAATGAACTGGTCTACAAGAGAGCGGATATAGCTATTGGTTCGTTGTCGGTAACATCGCAAAGATCTAAATTCGTGGATTTCACTGTGCCTTACTACGAAATGTCCGGGCAAACTATCCTGATGAAATTACCAACAACGCACACATCCATCTTCAGATTCCTCATCGTTTTCGAGTACATGGTCTGGCTCTCTATAATCGGCGTTTATCTAATTACAAGGTACACGCAATTATCTGTTAATTAGTTTATATGAAAGATTATGATAATTGCAGTTTTTGGCTTTGGTTGCTGTATAAATTGAGTCCGTTCGGGGCGAGGTATGGACGCGCCAACGAGCAGCTGAACTTAAGAAATTTCACCCTAATCGAGTGTTTGTGGTTCTGCTTGATTGCGTTCACCCCTCAAGGAAGCGGTGAAGCCCCGAGCAACGCTTCAGGAAGAGTGATGACCGCCTGTTGGTGGCTCTTCGGCTTCATCTTAGTCTCTTCGTACAGCGCAAACTTATCCGCTTTCCTCACCGTCTCTCGCCTGGAAACTCCGATCAAATCTCTGGAGGATCTTTCCAAGCAGTACAAAATACAGTATTCGACGATAAACAATTCGAACGCCATGAATTACTTCAAGAGGATGGCTCAAATCGAACGCAAACTCTTCTTGTAAGTGTGTAAATCATCAATTTAATGATTGAAAATTGTTATTTTAAAGGAAATGGATGGATTTGAATATCTTCGATGAAGATTTGGACGATTATCAAAAATCCAGATTGGCTGTTTGGGAGTATCCGTTGAGCGATAAGTACACGAAGATTTGGAAGCAGATGAACAACGTGGGACTTCTTAATTCGACAGAAGAAGCTTTGGAGATGATCAGAGCGTCGGAGAATTTCGCCTTGATGATCGACGGAATCGACGCTAAATATCTGGATTTGACCAATTGCGATTTGCAGATTGTAGGCGAAGAGTTCAACAAGAAGCCGTTGGCTTTCGCGGTGCAGTTGGGGTCGACCCTCAAGGATCAAATGAATTCGGCGTAAACGAACCAAATCAATATCTAAATACGATATTTAATTAAGTGTGTTGTAATAGAGTTTTGCAGCTGTACAATAAGAGGATTCTGCAGAGGTTCAAGGAGAAATGGTGGGCCAACAATCCGAACAAAGTCCACTGCCAAGTGGATTCCGTTTCGGAGAGCATCAACGTCGACAACATCTTCGGCATCTTCATATTCCTCTTCCTCGCCGCTCTGTGCGTGGTGATCTTTGCGCTGGTAAAGCGTTTCTGGTCGTGGCTGAAGACACGAAACTAGAGCGGAAACCTTTCAATCCACCCTAATAATTAGAGTAATTGCGAATCGATCGATCGGTTTGCGGTGTGTGGCATTTTTCCATTTCAGTTCAGCTGCTTGTTTTTTTTTCTTGTTTTTTGTTCTCCTATTATTTTGTTTTTATCAACACGATGCACGCGACGGCCGAGCAAATAGACTGTCCATAATTGATTATTATTGTCTGTTTATAACGAACACATCGCTAAGCAACAAAAAAAATGTGTGTGTGTGCGGTCGGTGTTAACGTTTGTTGCTACAAACACGTATTGGAAGCAGATCAATTCGATGCATGGTCGAACGAAAATGCGGAAGATCCACGTAGCCTTTGCGTTTC